AAAAAAGGGGGAGGACACGTGCTTTAAATAAGGCTTAAAAATACAATCCTATCCCAATACCGGACTAGTGTGCAGCATCAGTGCCACCCTGTTGATTGTTTCCACACAGCGCTAAGCACAGAAAAAATGCCCTATATGTTACTTTCTTCTTCTTTTACATCATCTGCGCTCTGAGGAAGGACTGAGAGTTCATTGTTGACTTTGTGTTCTGAGTCACCACCATTTGCTTCTTGGCTCCTTTTTTTGTCCTCTGCTTTCTGCTCTTTTGCAAGAAGTCTGTAATGGATAGTCATCGCCACAATTAAGTAAACTCCAGATACGATAAGTACTGCTCCACAAGCTTGGTAAGTATACTTGTAGTCGCCATAAATGTCATTTAATCTGCCTGAATAAAACAAAAAATTAACAAAAAGTTAACTTTGCAGGAGTTAGATAAAACGTGAAGACTTGGAAACTGCATGTAAAAAAAACATAATACACCTACAGTAAAGAAAACCAAAAACACACTGATCAGCCAGAACATCATGACCACTAACTGGTGACGTGACCAGCATTGATTATCTTGTTACAATGGCACATGGAAATGGGTGGGATGCATTAGGTAGCAAGTGAACATTTTGGAGCGACTTTGACAAGGGCCAGCGCAACTCCAAAACTTGGGATGTTCCAAGTCTGCAGTGATCAGGGCATAGCAAAAGGGGTCCATGGAAAAAAATTATAAAATAACTGTTGCGACGACAGGTCATGGACAGCCAAGGCTCATTAATGTGTGGAACAAAGACTGGCTCGTACAGTCTGATACAATAGAAGAGCTACTGAGGCTGAAAAAGTTAATGCTGGCTCCAAAAGAAAAGATGTCTGAACACAATGCTTCACAGTTTGTTGGATATGGGGCTGCACAGCTACAGACACCAGTCAAGGTGTCCATATTGACCAGCGTTCACCATGGCATGTGGCCTGATCTGATTAATCACATTTTCTTTTACATCACGTAGATGGGCAGTTAAGTGTGCGTTGCTTACCTAGGAAAGAGATGGCACCAGGATGCAGGAAAACCAAGCCTCACCCACCTCGTAACTTACGGGACTTAAAGGATCTGCTACTGACAGCTTGGTGCCAGATACAGCATACCTTCAGTGGTCTAGTGAAGTCCATGCCTCAATGGGTCAGAGCTGTTTGGCAACAAAAGGGGGACCTTCTCAATATTGGGCAGGTGGGCATAACATTCTGGCTCATCAAATCTCTCCCTCTATATTAGGTGTTTATATCTATACATCTCCATATCCTTCATGTGCATCATTCATTCTTTAGATCCTTTGCTGCGTGTTAATGTGCATTTTATACAAGTCAAGCCCAGCCAAGACATTCTGGATAGAGTGAAATACATTTGAAAATGCCCTGATTTTTTTAATGCTTTTTGTGTTTGTCGTGAAGACTTACCTCATATGCTCTTCTGGTAACACTTGAAATGAGAATATTGGGACAGTGCATACGGTAAAAGCCTAACAAGTTGGGATAGAGTTCCCTCTATCCAAACTGCTTTTACAAATGCACATTCCGAGTCGGTCAAGCCGATGTTTTGATTTTTAGGGCTTGTGTTAGTGTTAATTACTTTGAATCTCCATTAAAAATCTATCGGGGTGAAAGCAGGATAGGAGGCAAATGTAACTTAATTTTGAAGTATCTCAGAAGGGTCTCAAACTGATGCAATCAACAAACCCAAAACCGATTTTAACGACACAGGCCCTAAGAGTCACTAACAAGCATAGGGAAGAATACCAACACACATTTACATGCTTGTTCTGGGTCTGTGACTCAAAACTATTGAATTCAGACAGCCAGGCATCTAACATTTTTAGAGAGGTCAGCGAGGTTGCTGAGCACTTTCGAAGAACACTTTTGGTTGCAGATGAACTTACGAATCAAACATATTCCATACGCTAAACATTCATGTGGTTACAGACAAACAAAAAACAGGTTCTTACCTAAGAGGGGTGGTCCAAGAAGAACAGGGCAACATTCTACGATCGTCACCAGTCCAACAGCACTGGAAAATCTCTGTGCACCAACCAAATCCATTAAGGTTTCAAAAAGGACAGAGCTTAGCCAGCCAAAAGCAAAGCCAAAGAAGGCAGCATAGATCGCAAAGCCAAGATAATCAGTTGATAAAGGTGCTAACAGGTGGCAAACTCCATTATAGAGCACAGCAACAGCAAAGAAATATTGCACCCTAGGTCTCACCCACTTGGTGTTTGCTACGATCCCCATAGTAGGTCTTGCAATCATATCTACAAAAGCAAGGATGGAAAGCAAAAAGGCAGCACGCTCTGGAGAAATCTGCTTGCTTTTTGCATAGTTGCTGAGGAAGACTAAAGGTGCAAAGAGACCAAAGAACATGATTGTGTGTCCAGACAGATAGATCAAGAATCCTCTATGAGTGAACAGGGAAAAGTCCAAAAACTTGTTAATTGTCTGAAAGAAAGTTGGTTTGGTTTTTGTTGTTCCATCAATAAGGTCTTTGTTAGCATCCTTGTCATCTTTGCATTTCCCAGCTTCCTCCAATACCTCCTTCGTCACTTTCTTTTTCAAATCATCAGGTTTAGGTCCAATGGGGCGCATTAAGGAGCCTGCAACGCAGCAATTGAAAAGAAGTCCTGCCAGTATCAAAAAGCTTCCTCTCCAACCAAAGATACCGTAGAGGTACTGATTTAAAGGAGCAAGTGTTGACAAAAATACAGGACTGCCTGCCATTGACAAGCCATTAGCAATTGGTCTTTTCTTGAAAAAGTATTTTCCAATCATTGTTAGAGATGGATTTAAATTAAACGAAAGACCAAATCCTGTGGAGAAAAATAAATAAAGTTGTGACACATGGATACCTTTGTACATGTTACTTAAAAGCTGCCACAGTTATAAATACCTACTACTACTCAATATAGGATTTTTTTACTTGCTTCTCTTGGAATACATGACACAAGCTACAAGTCTTAAGGTGGCCATACACTCTACAACCATCGCAAGACCTGCGATGATTGTACAGTAATTAAAAAAATACGATCTGCCCATCTTGGACAGGCAGATCGTACTCTTGATCATCGCAAGCCTGCCCCCGAGGGGCAGGCTTCCGATGATCGCAATGCTGAACGGGCAGTGTGCGCGTGCACACACCGGCCCGTCCGGCATTTGTCTCCCGAGCACCGTTCAAACCAGCCGAAAATCGTACGATTTTCGGCTGGTTTTCTAGCATGCTCCGTAGACAAAAGACTTGCGACCGTACAGTAGAAACGGTTGCACGTCTTTGTTCACACTGCTTGATTCTCGTACGATCGCGGGATTTCCCGCGACTGTCATACGAGAATCAAGCAGTGTATGGGCACCATTAAGGTCCCCACACACCTTACGATAATTGTACGATAATCGCGGGAAATCCCACGACTATCGTAAGGTGCGCGGAAGCCGTGCAACCTCTACTACTGTAAGGTCGCACGACTTTAAACTTACGAACATGGTGCAAACCCCGCCGAGCATCGTACGATGTTCGGGAGATAAAAGCCGGACGGGCCGGTGTGCGCAAGCACACACTGCCTGTTCGGCATTGCGGTAATCGGAAGCCCGCCCCTCAGGGGGCATGGCTTGCGATCATCGGAAGTACGATCTGCCTATGCAAGATAGGCAGATCATACGTTTTTTTTTAAAGTACCTTACAACCATCGCAAGACAAAAGTCTTGCGATGGTTGTAAGGTGTGTGCCCAGCCTTAGGCCCTGGGTTATATGCTAGATTCAAGTTACTGAACACTGGCAGAAGGAAAAAGCTCCAGGGACAGCCCCATATAACCCGTTTCTCACAGCAAGTTTCAGTTTTGTAGCAAGCACTAGGGAGATCATAGAACCAGAAGGGTCTGTGCTCCCTGGAATACAGTGTCCTGTACTCCAAAAAAAGATTTTACAGGCAAGTCACAAATCCCATTGTCAATTGTACAGTACAAAATACTGGCTGAAAGTTGGCCATACACCAGATTTCCAAACAAATACTTCTACAAAAAAAAAAATCTTTACCACCCAATGATGCCATCAGACACTTTACAAATGTCAACTGATATTTTATTTGCAACGTTTAATTTTGGAATTAATGGAGTTTGCCCAAACAAAAACCGAATACACGGTGAGATTCTTTCTTAACCCCTTTGTGACGGGAGACGTACAGTGTACATCCTGTCACAAAGTGGCTATATGACTGGCCACGTACACTGTACGTGCCGAGTTATATTGGCCTCTGTAATGCTGGTAACTGCTGATTCTCAGCAGTTCCAGTCATTAATGAATGCCTCACTATTGAGACATTCATTAATGAAATAGTTAAGCTTTTTTAAAAGCTTGTTTCTTTCATTAATGAAAGAATGAAGCCTTTACATTCAGATATGGGTTCGCTAAATAGCGATCCCGTATCTGACAGCTGAAGATAGAGAGGTAGCAGTGACTCACCTCTCTGCTATTCGTTTTGACACCTGGAGAGCCTGGCCCGATGTTAAGAGCCCGTTCACATTGAGCGATTTATCGCGCTGTAATTCCCACGATATCGCGGCAATTTACCGCACGATATGGCTCTCCAATGCTTCTCAATGGGGCAAAGGGTCCTGCTGTCGTGGGTCGTGGGTCGCTACAGCAGGACCCTTTTTTTGGAGCGGATTTAGCCGCGATTCAAGCTTGCTCAATGCAAGCATTTGCGCGATATCGCGCAAAATGCAAATCTCGCGACAAACACGCGATTTGCGAACCGCTCAATGTGAACGGGCTCTTAACATCGAGCCAGGTTCTCCAGGTGTCAAAACGAATAGCAGAGAGGCGAGTCACTGCTACCTCTCTGCTATCTTCAGCTGCCAGATACAGGATCCCTATTTAGGTCTTAATGATACATTTGTATCTAGTGGTTGAAATGTATCTCGAGTGAAATGTATCAGTTTTGATCGTCTAGGAACGATCAAAGACCTTTAGTGAGATCTGATTCTGACATGGTGTCAGGATCAGTCTCTAAAGTTATTATTAGCTGTTCCTAAGCTTGGAGCAGCCTGATAACAACTAAAAATTTTAAAAAGTTAATTTATTAAGCAGTCATAGTGATTGCTTGATATAAACTGACAAAAAAAAAAAATTTTTTTTTTACACTTATTTTTTTTACAAAGTGTAAAAAAAAAAAAAAAAAAGTGTACAAAAAATTAGGAAAATAAAACGTTTATATATAAATATATTTGTATACTATAATTATTATTAAAAAAATTCTAAAAATAATAATAATAATCAAAACTTGCTGCTGTGGAAGAATCACACAGCAAAAATGTAAAAAGTGTGTCAGTCATTTAGGAACAGAAACTAAAAACTAGCTGTCATTAAAGGAGAACGAGGCGAGTGCTTTTCACTCACCTCAGTTCTAGCCGGCCTATGACAATGAGGCTGTCACAGGTCGGCTCAGTAGATCGGGAGGTGAGCGAACACATACCGGTGTTCGCTCACTTCTCGATCTTGTCATGGCTCTCTGCCGTGACAGGGGAGGGGCTGATTCCCCCCTCCCATCCACCAGTGCTGACTGGCGGATGTCTGGATCCGCTCCAGCTGCGTTGTCTCAGTATACCGCAAACTGTAGCTCGCGGTATACTGAGCTTAGGGTGACGGGAGGACTCTATAGTTTGTGTCCTCCCGTTACCCTGAGAACTATGGGGAAAAGCTCTGACCCCATAGTTCTCCTTTAAAGAAAACATTTCCATCCCGCCCCTTTGAGTTTATCACTACAGTAGAAAATCAATCAAATTTGACACCCATCAACTAATAGAAACTCGAAAAAGTTTTTTTGTACGAAAGTGCTTTTAGAAATCTAAGCAGTGTATAGCCAACTCAAGTTAAGCCTGGGATGCCCAAAGCAGTATAACTGGAGGTGTGGGCCACCTAGCATACAACACTGTTGATCACATGAAGGTAGCACCTAGAAGGTAAGACCTATGGTCTAAAGGTGCCCATACACATCTGTGATCGTACCATAATCGGCAGGTGTATGGAAGGCATGCAACCGTTTCTACTGTAAGGTCGCACGTCTCCCAAGCAGGCTTGAAAACCAGCCAAGAATCGTACGATTTTCGGAGGGTTAGTGGCTTTCTTGAGACAAATGCCACACGGGCCAATGTGCACAAGCGCACACTGCCTGCTCAGCATTGGAATCATTGGAAGCTCTCCACTCAGCGGGGAGGGTTTGCGATGAGCGCCAGTACGATCTGCCTGTCCAAGATGGGCAGATCGTACAAGCTTTTAATTACTTTACAACCATCGCAGGATGGCACCTTAAGACAAAAAAAAATAAGCATTCTATACTAAAGCAAGTCTGTTTAGCAGCAAATATTCCTGCTGCCAATGACATTTCATGGTCACAGAGGCATTGATTACCCCATGATATATTAAATTACAAAGCTGCATTAGCCTTTCACATCTGCATAGTTATCAGCTTTAATAGTAAACAAAAACATGGCATGGTAAATAAGATATTAACACAAACCAGGGTACCTTACCAACCGCTCAAGCAATTTACATATTTTTTTTCGTTGTGGCACAAGTAATAAAGTTAAAGCATCACATACTCACATGGACACCTGCATATATAAAAGCTTAAAACAAATGAAGAAAAAGAAAAAGAAAAAAAAAAAAAAAAAAAAAAAAATCACACCCCTTACCTCCAATAACACCAATACAAAAGTAGAGTTGCGCAACAGTGTGACAAAACGAGGCACCAATTAAACCAATTCCAGAAAGAAGGCCACCAAGCATCATAATCGGTCTGCTTCCATACTTATTCACCAATACACTGGCTATTGGACCTAAAAGAAAAAAGGTTAAAATCATAATGTTGAGCTTACAAACAAATAAGGTTCCTTGTTCCAATGTTCCAATGTTAAAGTTGAACTCCAGGCTTACCCTTCTCTTCAATACAACAATGGAGGGATCAACAGATGATCCCATCCCATTGAGAGGGGTCACAGTGACTTAAATAGAGCCCTATGTAAAGAACTAATGTTCCAAGAAACCCAAAAATTACTCAAAAAAAACAACAGGAAAAAAAAAAACAGGAAAAAAAAAACCCTGCTAGAACTCACTGGAGCACCGATAACTGTGGAACTCCATACCACAGGCACGATTGCAACTCAATGCAGTGCATAGGATAGTATGCCGGTTGAGATGTGTACACCACGACCAGTGGAGGTCAGAATCCCAGGAGTCTGTCGGGGGGGTAGTTCTGCAGACTGTGCTGTGGTACCAGAGGGAGACCTGGTGCCTCCATCCGGCCATCGCCTGATCCTCCGGAGACGCTCGCCTTTCGACGAAGGAGACTTTAGGTCTAACTGAGCTTTGGTATCCTCCAGATCGGTACAGAAGTACATCTTGCCCTGGTACTAGAAGATACCACTTTTTTTTATTAAACGCATGAGAAGTAAATATGGGAAGTAAACTTTTTATTTCCCAGAAGTTCTCCTGCCTTTCCATGAATTTGGACGCAATCAATATCCAATCTGCCCATGGACACAGGTCACTTTTTTTATTTAAATGCAGCAAAACTATATGCACCTGAGCGCAAGTAAACAGTGTGAATTATACAATTTAAAATTACATTTAGAAATGCCCTATATACTCTTAATTGCATGCCTTTTGCCAAGAGAAAAAAAAAATTGCTTAAACATTTTGTTTTTATTCAGACAAGGGGGGCAACAGTGTCAGATGACACTGAGCAGCCAGAGCTATTCATTCAATATGTCTTATCTAATGCAACAATTGTGGTTAATCAAATTAACTAGAGCCCAGATGGCATCTATGCATCCTAGGATGTGTCATAGGTGTGCCTTGTGTTGCACTAAGTGCGTTGGAGGCAACATTAAGTGAATGACGGGACACAAGGGTGGGAATTTATCAAAACTGGAGCAGACAAAATCTGGAGCAATTGCCCATGGCAACCAATCACCATCTCTTCAGTTTGCTCAGTTAAGATTTGAAAATGAGAGAGAGAGAAGCTGATTGGTTGCCGTGCAAATCTGCTCCAGATTTTGTCTGTTTCAGTTTTGATAAACTCCCCCCAATGTGATTTGTTGCACTGAGTTGCCATACCTTGCATAAACACGTGGAAAAAAAAAACCACACATGCACCCACACCCAGGAGGGGGAATGGTCCCCTAATCAACCCAATATCTCTATTAATCCCTCTACTGATCCATTTGATTTTCTTCCCTTCTGTACTGTGAATGTACAGTGCATATCCTGTCACATGGAAAAACATTGACTTCAAATGAACATTACATTTGGTTTATCGGCAATTGTGCTGAGCTAGTGTATGAGCAGGGCTGGCACACAGTCTTCGCAGCAGGTCTTGAACAGAGCGTTTTAAAATCACAGAGACTAGGTCTATGCCTGACAATTAATGGCAAGGAGAGCGATTTGTGCTAGCAGTTAAAAAAAAATGCAATTGTTTCTAAAGGTTAGCTCAGAAATAGTATTGAGAAGGCAATCAGAAGCTGATAAGCCCGGTTTTCAATTTAACCTGTGACACTAACAATTTAGAGAAAAGGGTAAAGTGTGATGTTTACAGCAACTCCAGATTCAAAGAAAACTCCACTTAACTGCAAGAACACTCGCTTGGTCTAGGGCAGTGGTGGCGAACCTTGGCACTCCAGCTGTGCCAAAACTACATATCCCAACATGCATCTGCCTCTGGGAGTTATGTCTGGCTGTCAGAGCCTTGCAATGCCTCATGGGACTTGTAGTTACAAAACAGCTGAAGTGCCAAGGTTCGCCATCACTGGTCTAGGGTGTAAAGTGGTTAACTGTAAAGCCTTGGAAATGGCATTGCCTGACTGAAACCTGGTTGGATGACTGGAATTTGGCGGTCCAAATGCATGCCTGCTGGGGAGGTGCTTTGGGGTGCAAGAATGTATGCCAATGCAACACGCCTAGTGTGCACTAAACACACAGATGCCACATTAAGCACAATGACTGTGTACCAGCCCCAAAAAGGTTTTATACCAATGGATTTTTCCCTGCACATGTTTTCAATTGGACGTGAAATTAACAGAAGGTGATTTTGGTTCCAAAAGTAGTTCCTAATTAGATGGAAGTGGACTTGGCTGCCTATTCCTGGTGGAAATATCACTATCCCAGATCATGTCCACTAAATAAGCTGCAGGGATCCCAAGGCAGCACAACTGAAATCTACTGCTGTCACTGAGCGACACCCTCTAAAAGGTGCCCATACATCGTACGATAATCGTATCCGATCGACTTTTCGTACGACAATCGTAACGTGTGAATGTAGTGCCCGACCGATAGTACTGTACAATCGTACGACTTTTGACGGTCAAGCATGTTTGAAAACTTTGGTTGATCGTACGATGTTCGCATGGTTGGTGGCGTTTCCGTTCGTCAAAAGTCGTACGATTAACACTGCGCATACGAAAATAATTGCGGTCAATTACCGCAAGTCGTCCAGGTTTTTTTTTCTAACTACAGCTGATTGAACCTTGCGATAATCGGGGCAGGATGGGGCCGTCGTACGAAAATCGTACGACGGTTCGATCATCGGACGAAAAGTTTAGTCCGATAATCGTAAGGTGTATGGGCACCTTAAGGCTGGGTTCACACCTGGGCGTGTAGGAGTGTTGTTTCTGCTTGTTATTTTCAAGTTTTTTTCGTTCAGTGAAACCCGCGTTTTTATACCTCCCTGGCGGCATGATTTTTTTTTTCCTATGTACCTTTTTTTCGGGGTTAAACTTTCAAACTTGCCCCCGGTTCCGCCCCCTGCGACGCGACGGTACCCGGAAGTCGGCAGCGGCCGGAGGACACAGCAGGGATCGCGGACATGTGATCCTACGCTGTATTCTCGAGTGTGGCTCGGGGTTACCGCTTTGTTAACCCCAAGCCACACTCGGGAACAATGGATATGCGCTGAAAAACGCCTTAAAAGAAGCTCCTGTACTTGTTTGTCATAAGGCGTTTTTCAGCACGTTTCCACAGGCTGAAATACGCCCATAGTAAATGGGATTTCACGTGCTGAGCGTTTTTCGGCGCTTCGATCAGCGCTGAAAAACGCCCAGGTGTGAACCAGGCCTTAAGCTAGCATGAAAACCAGTAGCTTAGATCAGTCTCATATTTCACCAAAATAAAAAAAAATAAAACCTTTTTATGTAGAACTTTAAAAAAAAAAAAGCAGATCTTTGACATTTAAATGTATCCTTACCTCCACCATACATTTAAATGTATCCTTACCTCCACCATACATGACTGCTAGCATTATTGAAGAAATCCAGGAAACTTCACTGCTTGTTGCATCAAATATTACTTCTATGTCTTTAAAGAACACCGTAATGGATTTGGCAAAGGCATACGAGAAACCAATAGATATAAAGGCTCCGCCTACTACTGCCCAACCCCAGCCTCCTTCTGGGGGTGTGTAGCCTACTGGACCGCCAACGGCAGGTGCCATGTTTGTGGCTTCAAACTCTCGTCTTCAAAGACCCTTAAGTAGAGGAAAAGAAAAGAAAAAAAATATACATTACACAGCCATTTAAGATTGATACACTAGTGTCTGGAAGTCATAACATGTTGAAGCTTGAAAAGCAGGTAGACAGTTCTCAAAAATGTGCATACTCCTGACAGAATTAGTAAAAATTAAAGCCATTTTGTTGCTGCACCAATACTATAAAACAATGTGCTTACACTATGCTAAACTGCACTCGTAGAAGCATCACATTTCTGTTTGAATATAATTTGGAGTGATGAGACCAAATTACCTTTAAGGTCACAACCATAAATGCTATGCTTGAGGAAAAGTCAACCCAGCCTATGAAAAGCAACAAACCATCCCTACAGTAAAGCATGGAGGTGCATCTCTTATTTAGGAAGTTGTAGGCTAAAGTGGTAAGAGAATTTATTTAGTCAAATTTGGAAGCAAGATCCCCTCCAATACATTGCGATATGTTGTATTAGCTTGCAAGCCAAGCATGGGGAGCACATGGACTTCTCAAGCAGGACAAAGATTGTAAACATAATGACAAGTTAACTTTTCAGAGGCTCTTTAGTAGCCATGACAAACTCCGGAGCTCTTGAGACATCAGCCACTTGAGACATCCCAAACATACAGTTGCTAGACAACCAAAGTACCTGGATGATTTTTGCCCAGGACAGCTTACCACAGGAGAAAAAAGGGTAGATTCACAATTATCACAAGAGACTGCAAGCAGGAATTGAGGCTAAGGGTGTAGATTGAGGACTTTCAGTGATAATCAGGGTCTGTAAACAGGACCATGTTATTTCCTGTATTGTCATGGTTTCAACAATGTTCCAATACTGAATAGTTTAATTTGAAAATAAGCATGTTTGATTTTGATCACTTATGTTTTCTTGCTTAAACTTCCTGGCAGAAATTTGTAAGATGTGGACCTATAAGCACAACGGTCCATACAATGTTTAGATATATATGAAGGAATTATTTTACCCGAAGGATTTGTATGTGCCTGCAGGCGCTGCCAGACAGAAGAATTAACTTGTACAATGCATAACTTGAAATTCAGCCTGACAATGCGCTACAGGAAAGACCAAGACAGTGTCAAAGATTAGGCATGCACCAATACTGACTGGTTCTTTACTCTTCTCCTTGGATTGCATTTGATTGGTCCACAGTGAAGTGGGTAAGGATGATCGATATTTCACCATGATGCGATTATATTATGTATCATGATTGTTGTAGCACTCATATTGCCGTTCTATACAATTATTAGACCACCTCCTCTTCTTAGACCTCCTATGTGCTATATTGTCTAAAGGGATTGTATTTATTTTTTTGATCACAATATTGTCCATATCATATGGTATTAGCCGTTTGTATTGACTTAGTCATATTCATGTTATTGGATTCTACAATCATGTTTACCATAACCCCTCTGGTGGAAAGGGATGAGTGTTAGAAAGGTCTTCATGTATCTTGTGCAATTTCATAAAATTGACACCCACTTTCCCCAACATTTCAGTTGTGATTGATAACACAACTATCCAAACCTCCCCTCATGCCAAGGTCCTAGGTGTCATCCTTGACTCAGACCTCACCTTTCTTCCCCACATCCAATCGCTATCCAAATCCTGTCGCCTTCATAACATCTCAAAAATACGCCCCTTCCTCACCAATGACACCACAAAACTACTCATACACTCCCTTGTTATCTCTCGTCTTGACTATTGCAACTCCCTCTTCATTGGCCTTCCACTACACAGGATATCCCCCCTTCAGTCTATCATGAATGCAGCTGCTAGACTCATCCACCTAACCAACAGCTCAGTGTCTGCATCCCCCCTCTGCCAATCCCTGCACTGGCTTCCACTCGCAGAGAGGATAAAATTCAAAATATTAACAGTCACCTATAAAGCCATCCACAACTCCGCCCCCAGATATATGTCAGACCTTGTCTCTAAGTATCACCCTAACCGTCCCCTCTGCTAATCCATTGACCTCCTGCTTTCCAGCTCCCTTGTCCACTCCTCCCATACTCGCCTCCAGGACTTCTCTAGAGTCTCTCCCATCCTCTGGAACTCTTTACCCCAACCTGTCCGTCTATCTCCCACCTTGACTGCCTTTAGGCATTCCCTAAAGACTCATCTCTTCAGGGAAGCCTATCCCAGCTCGACCTAACCACTGAACCTTCACATTCTCAAAAAATTCATTCCCACAGCTACCTCCTCATGTATCATTTCCCCCCTCCTCTTTCAGATTGTAAGCCCTTAGGGGCAGGGCCCTCCTTACCATCTTGTCTTGAATTGTATTGTAACTGTAATGTCTTCCTTATATTGTAAAGCGCTGTGCAAACTGTTGGCGCTATATATGTTATAATAATAATAAATAATAAAATAATAATAAACACACACAGTATTTTGTGTCTTTTTACTTGCCAATTGGTGCCTTAAATAAAATAAAAAACCCCAACTGCTTTCTTGTACTTTTTATTGCACCAATACTAGCATTGATATCAGTGCTGTTACTAGGCATTTTCCCAATTATTTGTACTCTTGAAAATGCCCCGATACTAAAGTTTTTAATTTTTTAATCGAGTCGGCTGCCTGAGGTTCCGTGCTTCCTCGGGACCTCGTAGTGGCTGATTGACCGGGACGGTAAGGCCACACATCTTGCAGAGACCGGCGCAGACCTGGTCAGACGCAGAGTAGATGGCTTCATATTATTCCACATTGCTGTATAATGTATTGCTGGGATTTGGAGTTCCTCTACAGCTTGGAGTCAGTAGCAGAACTACCTGAGTTGCATCTGTGACTGGGCCCTGGTGCTCCACCACTGTCCTAAAATCATTAGTCTGCATGGTTTTAGAAAAACATGAAATGTATGTGTATACAAGTATAAATAGGTCCACGTTCAGTTGCAGAAAAGCAAGTAGACAGAATTTAGGAGGTTACATTTACCTAGTATTAGGTTTTCTGGGGGAAAAGCTGGATGTTAAAAACTACCATGCCCAAAACACCCCTGCCAAATTTTACTTATGTACTTTTTTTTGTAAAAGGTCCTGAGTGGTTTTTACTCTTTCTAAAAGCTAGCAAATTATAAAAGCAATACCTGTATTTAAAAGATTAACAGCTTCTAAAATTCTAAAAAGGGATTTACTGATCAATTACACTGGAGTTCTTAAAGTGTATTTCAACACAAACATGTAACAGCTTACCAGTCCTTAGATGTGGTGGCTGCATTAGTTTTATTTTTCCTTTATTTTCCTGGTGATCCTACCAATAAAACACTTCCTGTCTTAGGGTGAAGATGCTTACTCACTGCACCTATTGAGGAACAGCATTGTCAACCAAGGTCAGAAAAATGCTTGGGTTACAGAACACCTACACCTCTTCGATAGTGGAGATGCATCCTGCAGTTTTAACTACCTGTCCTAGAGCAACACTCACCTACCCCTCTGCTGCAGTCCTAACACACTTACTGTTCTAGGGTGACACGCACTCCCATGAAGGGTATCTATAGGGGCATTGTTGTTGGAAGCTGCACCCCTCATCTGGACTACAAACATGCCCCCTTCTCCTCATCACCATTACAGAGGGAGGTGCTCTATCGTTCACAGAAGAGAACTTGAGAAGCCATTTAGTGTGCATCCATTGTAAGTAATTTCATCAGTAATTGAAAAAGCTTAAAAACCTTTTGACTTTAAGATCACCAACTTTTACCTTGCAGGCAGATAACACTGTTGTGGGGGCCACAGTAGAGAAACTAATACATATAAATGATCATTTCTATAAAAGAACTCCGTTTTTCAGAAATTTAATGCTCCAAGAATTTAAATATGGTTCTCAATCTATCCAAATAGTTTTGAAAAAAAAAGATCAAGTGATAGAGTCTGATCAATAGTTTATCAGTATATGCATGGACAGCATTCGCCCAAAATGCCTTCATACTCATAATATGATCAAGCGAACGCCGTCTTCATCCTACTGGTCATCTGAAAGCAGAAGAATAAGAATAACTTGACATTAAAGAAACTCCAGGAATTTTTTGTTAAACCTTTGCAGTGGGGCTACCCCCGCACTATAAGGGTTAAGTGCTAATTTGTGCCTAGGTGCTTAACATACTCAAAGATCTGAGCCGGCCAACTCTCACAATGCTCCCTCCAGCCCGTCTTCCCCTCCCTGCAGCATTGGAATCTTCCTCAGGCCTATACACTATCAGTGTACAGACATTGATACATTTACGGGACCTTAGACCACTGCAGAGGGGGGAGACACGCTGGAAGTACCAGTCTAAGAAGAAGCTGGCTCAGTTTTGGGCAAGCAACTTTTTTAACCTAGACACAAATGAGCATTTAACCCTTGCAGTGCAGGGTTACCTCCTGCAAATGTTAAAAGCTTGCCTAGAGTTCAAGGGCTTAACCACAAGAGACTTGAACTGCTGGACAGTGGTTTTGTTTGCAACAAAAGTAAGCTTTAGTGAGTCAATGACCAACAGGTTAATTATCACACTTACAAGTGATTAAAATGTTACTTGTAGTCAAGCCCTCGGTTACTCATAAAACTTTAACCTGCTCTTAAAGATTAACTGCCTGCTGATATCTTTCTATTTCCAAGGAACATTATGGACGTGCTACATTTCCTGAAATAGTTAACACCTCATGGAGCTGCGCCCTCAGTGGTAATTGAATATGTGCAAGTGGAAAAGCAGAAGACAATTGAGGTTTTCACATTTGCTCAGCAGTCAGATCTCTTCCTCGTTTAAGTCAGAAAATGCGTGCCAGCAAGGATCCGCAAAGACAATCACGCAGTGTTTTTGCACAACTTTATTTTAGGAAATGTATGTTTTATGATAGCCTACACTGTTAAAAGCAAAGCTTTTATGTGTTATTCAGAACCTTGTGGCGTAACTAGTAGGTTACGCAGCCAGGAAGAGAATGAGGACACATGCAGTAATATTCTCTAGGGTGATGACGTTCTACAGTACGTCTAGCTGCTTAGTCATGAGGGTTG